ATTCTCTCTACCTAGCACTACAAGAAAAAATGTTATTATTACCTACGAAATTTTTTCCGTAGGTAATTTTTAGTTATCTACGGAATATTACCTACGGAATTTTTTCTATAGGTAATTTTTAGTTATCTACAGAGTGTTATCTACGGAATTTTTTCCGTACGGAAAAAATTCCGTAGATAACTAAAACAAAAAAAACGCAGCGTTTAAACTGCATTGTATTAGGGGTTGCTGAAGACATGAGACGAAATCGTTCTGCTTGAAGAACGGGCCATTCTGCTTGATAGAACAACCAGAAGAAAAGGCCAATGACCCAAACAAATAGAACAACATAAAGACCGAATAGAGAAAATAGCCACAATAGCAATGCGAAGCAAAAAGGTGTTAGTGATTCATACCTGAGCTGCAACAGTGTGCGAACGAGTAACAAAGAGTTCACCTCACTCTGCAGAAGACAGAAAAAATGATTTAGCAACAAAGGAGAGGTAGGGTTTATACATAGAAGAATCTAGAAAAGTGATGAGATCCGAGTGAGTGTGTGTGCCTCCCATGCACTCTTCTTATTTGCTTTCGCTACTTTTTTACGTCGGACTTGGTAGGGTCTGACGTAAAATGTAAAATCTACGTCGGTTGTATGTTGTGTCCAATGTAGATTGTACATTTTATGCTGGACCCTACAAAGTTTGACGTAAAAAAGTTCACAAAAATTACAAAAATTCCACCGCATCTTTTTTACGTCGGTTTTTATTGTCCGATGAGAAATAGGTGACGTAAAAGACTCATTTTCCACTAGTGCTATAAGAATAGACACTTTATGAAAGTTTTCTATTTTTCTTTCTGATTATTCTGTTGCATTCCTTGTGAGATTATGAGTGTGGATATATGTTCAATTTCAATAATGGATATGTTTGGTAGTAGGATTGGCACAAATCCCTTACGTGATACATGCTCTTAGAAACAGGCACTTTTCGAATGTTTTCTATTTTCGTGTCTATGTTTTTTGTTGTGTTCCTTAATGGTTTCTGAATGTGAATATGCTATTAATTTCAAAAATAGACAAGTTTTTATATGAATTAGAGTACTATGTGGGTTCCTGTGGGAAACCCTATGAAGTGAAATTAGATATATGATCTTTGGATGAATTTTGAGGCATTATATGTAAAATTGATGATGGATTCGTGTTTTGGGTAATATATGGAGTGTTTTGACTAATTGAAATATTATATTAACTGGCTGGTTGTAAAAAAATGCATGAAATCATGAAGTTGGGTTTATGACCTTTATGTTTCGTATGTTATGAATTGCAAGTTCAATGTGTATGATGTTGGATAATTTCTTAGTATGGTTTTTGTCTATTCTGATGTACATGGCTATGAGAAGTTCCTTGTATAAGACTATGTAAATATAATGTGAAAATATGAAAAGTGAATGTGTGACATGTGACATGATATTATGAGATAACGTAGTATGAGTTATGAGAATCTATGATAAGTGAAATGTTGAATCAATGAATAGTGAATGTGTGACATGCATCATGTGCATATCTAACTCCAGATGTGTCGCTTAGGTTGTATGCTAGTGATGTATTGAGTTATTCGAGGTGTGTCGCTTAGGTCGCATACTAGTGATGTATTGAGCTATTACAGGTGTGCCGCTTAGGCCGCATGCTTGTGAGATATTGAGCTATTTCAAGTGTACCTTAGGTCACCAGTGATGTATTTATGAATAAACATGTCCCTAGGTATGTTGCTGTAGCAACATGCCAGTGATGAGAAATGTGCAACTTCCTTATGGTGCCACATGCATGCATTAAGAGTCGAGTCCAAGGCATCCTATAGCATGATGAATGATTGTGTGTGTAATAATTGACTATGTATGGATTGTACTTGTACCATGTATTATGATTGTTGCGTGTGTTTGCTATTCAACATGTGTCTATGCACCTGAACCCAAGTGAGATGTTTCTCACTTTCCTATTTGTTCTATGCATGTTTTCTTGTGTCGTAGGTGATCATCAGCATGAGGATGTTGGTGATGAGGCTTAGGCTTCAGTTGGGCATGCTTTGATAGGATATCTGACATTAAGTCTTAGTTAGGATTAGATAGGGGTTTCATTGTTGTTATTGTGTTTTGGAAAGACTAATGATTTTTTTTGTCATCATTTCTGCATTGGACTATGATTTGTGAAATATGAATGTAAACTCTCTATTTATGTGTTTTGAAACCTTGTTTTGATTAAGAAAGTTTTATTTACTTAGGAAATGTACTTTATATTTATTGTGTAACATGTATGTGGGGTAGAGGGTGCCACACCATCCAAGCTTGTGAAATAAGTCACATGGCCTTGATAGTGACATCTTAACAAACTAGTCAAAGTAATCATTAGTCTAGTAGTTGTAATAATTAAGTTAGGTATTTAGAGTTAACTTAAGCTAACCTAAGTTATTCTTAAACTAGGATTAGCTTAGCTTATTCCATAAGCTTCTTTTCCACTAGTGCTATAAGAATAGACACTTTATGAAAGTTTTCTATTTTTCTTTCTGATTATTCTGTTGCATTCCTTGTGAGATTATGAGTGTGGATATATGTTCAATTTCAATAATGGATATGTTTGGTAGTAGGATTGGCACAAATCCCTTACGTGATACATGCTCTTAGAAACAGGCACTTTTCGAATGTTTTCTATTTTCGTGTCTATGTTTTTTGTTGTGTTCCTTAATGGTTTCTGAATGTGAATATGCTATTAATTTCAAAAATAGACAAGTTTTTATATGAATTAGAGTACTATGTGGGTTCCTGTGGGAAACCCTATGAAGTGAAATTAGATATATGATCTAAAAAATATGCTGCAAGTGGATTTAAAATTAATTTTTCTGGTTTTAGTGTGCAGTAATGACCATATCTCTGTTTGATTCTTTCGAGACTGGTTAACTGACATGTTTCCCGTTGATTTCTCGGTGTTACTACTACTTGTTATGAATTAGAGTACTATGTGGGTTCCTGTGGGAAACCCTATGAAGTGAAATTAGATATATGATCTTTGGATGAATTTTGAGGCATTATATGTAAAATTGATGATGGATTCGTGTTTTGGGTAATATATGGAGTGTTTTGACTAATTGAAATATTATATTAACTGGCTGGTTGTAAAAAAATGCATGAAATCATGAAGTTGGGTTTATGACCTTTATGTTTCGTATGTTATGAATTGCAAGTTCAATGTGTATGATGTTGGATAATTTCTTAGTATGGTTTTTGTCTATTCTGATGTACATGGCTATGAGAAGTTCCTTGTATAAGACTATGTAAATATAATGTGAAAATATGAAAAGTGAATGTGTGACATGTGACATGATATTATGAGATAACGTAGTATGAGTTATGAGAATCTATGATAAGTGAAATGTTGAATCAATGAATAGTGAATGTGTGACATGCATCATGTGCATATCTAACTCCAGATGTGTCGCTTAGGTTGTATGCTAGTGATGTATTGAGTTATTCGAGGTGTGTCGCTTAGGTCGCATACTAGTGATGTATTGAGCTATTACAGGTGTGCCGCTTAGGCCGCATGCTTGTGAGATATTGAGCTATTTCAAGTGTACCTTAGGTCACCAGTGATGTATTTATGAATAAACATGTCCCTAGGTATGTTGCTGTAGCAACATGCCAGTGATGAGAAATGTGCAACTTCCTTATGGTGCCACATGCATGCATTAAGAGTCGAGTCCAAGGCATCCTATAGCATGATGAATGATTGTGTGTGTAATAATTGACTATGTATGGATTGTACTTGTACCATGTATTATGATTGTTGCGTGTGTTTGCTATTCAACATGTGTCTATGCACCTGAACCCAAGTGAGATGTTTCTCACTTTCCTATTTGTTCTATGCATGTTTTCTTGTGTCGTAGGTGATCATCAGCATGAGGATGTTGGTGATGAGGCTTAGGCTTCAGTTGGGCATGCTTTGATAGGATATCTGACATTAAGTCTTAGTTAGGATTAGATAGGGGTTTCATTGTTGTTATTGTGTTTTGGAAAGACTAATGATTTTTTTTGTCATCATTTCTGCATTGGACTATGATTTGTGAAATATGAATGTAAACTCTCTATTTATGTGTTTTGAAACCTTGTTTTGATTAAGAAAGTTTTATTTACTTAGGAAATGTACTTTATATTTATTGTGTAACATGTATGTGGGGTAGAGGGTGCCACACCATCCAAGCTTGTGAAATAAGTCACATGGCCTTGATAGTGACATCTTAACAAACTAGTCAAAGTAATCATTAGTCTAGTAGTTGTAATAATTAAGTTAGGTATTTAGAGTTAACTTAAGCTAACCTAAGTTATTCTTAAACTAGGATTAGCTTAGCTTATTCCATAAGCTTCTAGACAACTAAACTTGTAGAAAGTTAACTAGGGTTGGTTAGCGTAAGTGCAAAATAGCTAACCATGGTTACACTTGACCATGGTTAGTCTAGCTTGCACCATAAGCCAACCAAACTCTTATATATAGGATTTCCTTGTATTGGCTAAACTTTTAACTTTGAGTATTAATGAATTAAATGCATTTTTTCTAATTCTCTCTCAAAGCTTGTTTCTCTCCTTGAAACTTGTTCCATTTCTGTTATCATTTCTTGAGTGTGGCGAGATTTGGTGGGACTTATCATTCCATGAGTGTGGCATCTCCAAGGGGGCTCTTTACCTTTCCATGTGTGTTTGAAGATGGCTTCTAACACCTTCAGAAGCCATTGAAAAAGTTAGGAGGAGACCAAGAAGGAAAAGATCCGTTCAAGGAACTTGGAGGAGAAATTACATCAATCTAGTATCTCCAAAGGGTTTTCCATCAATAGGTGTCTTCAGTGAAATTAGATATATGATCTTTGGATGAATTTTGAGGCATTATATGTAAAATTGATGATGGATTCGTGTTTTGGGTAATATATGGAGTGTTTTGACTAATTGAAATATTATATTAACTGGCTGGTTGTAAAAAAATGCATAGAAGGGTCAATACATGATCGATCTCTAATGAACTCTCCCTTGACACTGCCAAATCCATGAGTGCATTTGAGCAAGAGGTTGGTAGTACTAAATACTACAGGCACCCAACATGGGGTAGTTAATAATATACATGGGATTCATAGAATCCATAGTCTAACCAAAAAACAATAAAGAAGTGAAATACAGTTTTCAAATTATTCAATTAAATATTTCTATTTCCCTTTTCTACTATCAGGGTGAGCCAGTATATGTAAAACTGTTCAATTTGACTGTTTTTCACCTTTTCTCATTCCCAAAAGAATAGATTCCTTTCCCTGCACAGCAAAACTTAATGAAGACAAAAGCCACTAGAGTCCTAAGGTCCGTAGTTCAAAAGTAATGTGATGGTGAAAATCTACATATAAAAAATAAATAGAAACAATTGCTAGTACAAACACATAAAATTAACTTAAATAAGATATTTCATCATCCAATTCTGTCATTATCGGGAGATTTTATCCTAAACCACTAGGCCATTCTTTTTCCTATTCTATTGGATAAAAAGGAATTTCATTACAACTATAAATGCACGAAATTAGCGGATCAAACTGAGAAGCATTGGCCTTCAAGTTTCATTAATGTCAAAATTAAGGTTGAAACTACCTGAACTCAGAGAGAAAGAAGGCCGAGAGAAATTCAGCTCATGATTATTCCTTTTTTCTGTCTTTCTATAATTCTTGTGTTTAATATATTCAGTTTAGCATGTCAGTGATTCTAACTGGAGCTTTTCTTGTGTCTCATTTTTGCAGAACACTAGATGTAACAACTAAGAAGTTTGGAAGGTTTGTAAATTAGCATTTTTTTTGCACATTTAAAAGTTTTATGTATTTGATGGGATTGGGAGATTAGGTAGTTGAGCTGCATCCTTACATGGAAAATAGTAGTCACTATATATAATGCATTCTTCCAATAATATTACGATAATTAAATTAATTTATACTTATAAGATAATTTTAACTTTTTAAATAAAAATAAAAAAAATTAAATAAATATTATAAAAGGTTTTTAGTTTATAATAATTGCACATTATTTATTGACAAGAGTAATTAAACAGAGATACAAAATATTTTTTCTCTTTATAGTTGATAATAATATTTATGATGATATGAAATGTTATAGTGGTTTTAATTCTTTTCTTCCAAATCACATGCAAAATTAGTTTTAATTTTTTGTTATGATTAGTTTTTGTCACATGTATATTTATGTTGTTGTTGCTTGCAGGGGATTGTGTGCATACCTACTGCCCAGTCATATTGTTGTGTACCTACCTACTACCTAGTTAGCTTGTTGCGTGCTTATTAGGTACTCCAGTGAAAATATATATTCTTATGCTTCTTAATTTGTTGAAGTTATTTCTTTAGCTTTATGTTTTATTTAAATATAAATAACTATTTGATTCCTATTTGAGTATGTAATTAGGGTTATATGAAACTAACTTATTGATTTTTTTTGTCACTATATGTGTATTAATTGGGGTTTTTTATGAAAGAAATTTTAATTGGTTACATTGTCTTTGTCTTTAGAACCTAATAACACTTAGATTCCTTAATCAATCCTAGTAATTCCTTAATAAATAAGTACTTCTTAGATTCTACTACTACCAATAATATAGCTAGCTTGTGAACAGCCTGATTCGAATGAGCAATAACAATTTTCAGGTTCATGAATTAGTAGCAATGACACTTATCATTGGCCATTTGCATAGGCACATGGTTCTAAATGACTTTAAACTGGTTAAAAACCAGTTTACCCTAGCAGATTTGAATATAACGCTAGTATGCAAAGGGCATATGACAATATATTTGAATGTTATAAATATACAGAAGATGAATTCCATTCCAACACCTTTGTCTTTCCATGTTCTAATATATTTGTTATAAATACACAGAACATGAATTCTATTCCAGCAATAGCATTATCTACGGATTTCTTCCGTAAATAATGCTGATTTTTCTTGTAGTGTAGGTGAACTTTGAGTTTATTTATTATATTAAGGTTATTCGATTTTATATTGTATTATCACATGTAGGATAGAGGATTTCACACAATCTATTTCTACCTTTTAGTAGGGTTGGCCCAAAGGGTAAGCCAACAATGTCGTTGCATTAGGACCCTTTAAAAAAAAACAATTTTATATTGATATTTATATGATTTTTACAAGATTATATAACTTAAAAAGTTACTTTTTACATTCTTAAAATTTCACTTAAAAAATTTTATTTCTAAAACATATGAGAATATAATTATTTTTTTCAAGGCCCATCTCTAAAATATTTTCTTTTATTTTTATTAAAAGATATTATTATTAATTTTAAAAAAAATCTCACTTTAAGATTTATTTTAGACTTAATTATATATCGGCCAGTCATGCGGCTTTTGACATTTCATTTAATGAAAATTTTCATTATTAGATTTTAGAACAAAAGAATCATGGAACACAAACTTTAAAGAAATAAGAGAAAAAAAAACACACACACGCAAAGACTTAAAGTATACAAATTATTCAATTTTCCACATTTTTCTCTTATCAGCATTTAAGTAATACAGAACACAAAAAAAAAAACTTATGTAAGTATATTAAATAGTATAATAATAAATATTAAATATAAATAGTATTAATAGTTAGAGATGCGAATAAGTCAGGTGAAGTTAAACTTTGAACAAAATTGAAGCCAAAGTGTAGCCAATTATATATCATAGGTTTTTTCAGGGGTCTGATTTACCTTTTTTAAAGTCTGGTCTGACCTATTAGCCTATTTATATTAATAATGTTAATTAGGTCAATAAACTTAATTTTTAAAAAGCTGACAAATTTATTTTTAAAATATAGAGTACTCAATATTATTAAAATTTAAATTTTAAAAGAAATATAGAGAAAAAAGTGAATCATTTTCTATTAAAAGGGATGATTCATGTGTAATCATGATGTTGGTGTACACTCTCATGCATAGCTCTTAAGCTTATAAGCCTATAATGAAAAAAATAATCGTATAAAAAAATATTTTAAATATTGATAATTTTTTTTTTGTTTTATAAATTTATTTATATTTTAATAATATATGTATAATAATTATTTTTATACTATATAAATAAAATTATTTTTCATTATAGTTTATTCAATGTTGTTAAAATTTAAATTTTAAAAGAAATTAAGGAGAAAAGGAAAATCATTTTCTATTGGAGGAACAACTCATGCTTAATCATGTAAGTTGACGTACATTCACACACAGATCATAAGTTTATAAACCTATAATGAAAAAAAAGACTTGTATAAAACAAATATTTTAAATATTGATAATTTATTTTTGTTTTATAAATTTATTTGTTTATATATCTTTAATAATATATGTATATTAATTTTTTATTATATTATATAAATAAATAAGCTGACCTATCAAGTTTAATAAACTTTTTTTTTATAAGTTTAACCTTTCTATGTAAATAAAATTTTTAAACATTTAATTTTGACATTTTTATTAAAGGTCAGACATTAAAGAAGTCATAGGCCTTTATTTAAAATCTGCCTTTTCCTATTATTATTAATAGTGTAGTAACAAATATTAATACTATATAATAAGTATTAATAATAGTAATAAATGTTTACTATACAATTAATATTAATAGTTACATAAAAATATTAAATTCTATGGTAATAAATATTAAATACAAATTAGTATTATTAATTGTAGTATAAAGTAGTTTTTAATTTGAAATTAAATTCAATAATAATATTAATAACAATTATTATTATTATATTAATGATTATACTAATTAAGAAATTTAATTTAATTATTTCTCAATTATATAAAAATAGAAACATTATAAAAATTATGATTAGTTATAAATAGAAATAAAATAATAAAAAAAAAACATTTTGACCAAAACATAATAATTATTGATTATTAATCACACAAAAAAAAGCAAAGAAGTTTTCTTTGCGAAAAATGAAATGTTTTTACAATTTTATTTTAATTAGTATAATATATTGATATAAATTAAATAATTATATTAATTAAGAGATTAAATTTGCTTAAATTCTCGATTACAAAAGATAAGAGTATAATAATTAATATTTTTTAACAACGTATAATAAATAATACCAATTATTATACTTAATCACTATAATATAGTGGTCATGTATAATAATTAATATTATTTACAATTAGTAATAAAATATTTTTTTTTCAAAATATAAAAATATAACCATTTATTTTAAATAGATTTGAGTATTACAAATTTGGATATAAAAAATTCAAAGTGTGTCATTTTTTTATTAATATTTTAATTTGATATAATATTGGAATAAATTCTCTCAAAAGTTAACTTCAGAGAGATATTGTTTTACTTAAATTTACTTAGATATTTTGACCTTTGGTCATGAACTTCGTTTGAAGTTCTTAATCATTTAATTCTTATATTTTTATATACAAAACTAAGAAAAAGAACAAAAAATAAATCTTAATAATTTAAAATTTAATACAATAAAATATTTTGTTCCAATTATTATATAGATAAAAAAATAATACAATAATTTCAAACAATTTCATTTTATTTGCATGATACCTATAATGATCCAGCAGGTTACTACACTTACTACAACGTAGCAATTAAGTAGTGATAAACATAAAGAGTTGTCTAACTTAGATTCTCATGCAACAATTTTTGGATATGCATGCAACAATATATGTATAGGAGCAAAAAACTTAAAAGAGTCCCTAATTATGTACCATCATGATTTTTTACAATAAAATAAATTATTTTTTATAGAAAAATTATATTATAGGCTTAATTAATTAATTAAGTTTATAATGTAAATAATATTTTAATAATAAATCAAACAAGAAGAGTGGTAAATTAGATAGTATTGAACTAGACTCTAGGCCCAACCTGAAGGTTGATTAAAAGAAGTAAAATAAAGGGAATAGGTTTATTATGCATCTTCTGAAAACCTAGAGCACTCGCGAAAGGAAAGCTAAAAGAGACCACTAAGGAAGGTGCAAAATAACGGTCATAGCTACAAGAAACACATTGAACCGTGAGATCATCACTCCAAGTAAAGGGAGTGAGATTATCACATCTGCGAGCATATATGAGGGATGCGGGTAGAGAGACGATCCCTAAGCCTCTTAGGTTATTGATTTGATTTTAATGAATGATTATGTCCATGCTCTAAGATTGAGTTATTGTATTGTCCTTATAATTTCGTGCCTCAATTATGATTGAATTAATCTGATGATGAATTGCAAGTTTTAAGAGTTAGGAAAATGATATTTGGGGGTTTTAAGTTTATTGGATGTATGATTTAGGGATTTTGTGTAATTTTCTTAACTATGAAAATTATGGTATGACTACATCTCGGTATTTAGATGATTTCTCTTTGTGTGATTTACTGAATAGAGCTTCATTTGCTAAAGTAGACATTTGAGACTACAGTTTAGACTCAAAAATTACATAAAAAGTATTGAGAAAGGATCGAGTTATATGAGCCACAAGATGAGTCTCATGTTCTGTGCATGAAAAGTTTCATCTCTAACTTATAAGCCTTACCAGAACCCTTACATGATCGAACTGATTTTGTGGTATTCATAAGAGTTGTAGCTTTAGATGTTAGCTTCTTAAGAGTGTTAATATCACCCAAAAAAGACGTTCATAACTCAAGTTGTGATCAAAGGTCGAACTATCAAAATCTTTGGAATAATTTTCTTTTTATGTTAAGAATTCTTCAGATCCATTAAATAGTTATTGTTTTATTTATGAGTATTAGTGTACAAGGATGGTGTCACAATTATAATCTTTCCTTTGTGCCAATTCAGCCACATAATGTGCTTATTAAAATCAATGCAGATACTTATCTATGTAACAAAAAATGCATGAATATAAGAAAAATTAGTAGAAATAAAAAGCGAAAAGTTGTTTATAATTAATTGTATTCCCATATGAAAGAAACTTCAAACAAATGAAAGGAAAATAATTGGATATATGAAAAGAACATTAAGAATTGTTTATTACAATTATGTTGATTGATGAATTTCATTTCTCCTATCAACCTTTTATTTGAACATTCTTGTAATATATAATTACTTGTTTTGACACTTTTGTAAACAAGAGTCCATCACATAAGTTGGAAGACCACGAACATCTGCCATGTAAAGTCAATAATAAAAATCATGTAAGAAGATAATAAACTTTAGATACTATAAAGAATAATTATAAAACCAAGAAAAGAGTCAATAGAGTCAATACCGATGTTGTTATCAATGGACTTAGTTAAGTTGCAACTTGTAATACAATTGTAAACAACATCCTTTCCCCGACATTTTGCAGTACAACTATCAACACATCGGTCATACTTTTTTCTATCATAAAATTTTGATAACAAGCATTTTAAGGTACAAACATAAGAACATACA